TGGGAAGCTTTTCAAAATTTGAAACATTAGTGCAGTGGTTTATGTTAAAATAAACCTTTGGGTTAAGTTGGCATTAAAAAGTCTTAAAAAGTCTTGAATTTAACTGGACTTCTGCTGTAGGAACCCTGTAAAACATCAAATTGTTGATATGGTAGGGTCACCAGACGTCCTCTTTTTCCCGGAAATGTTCTACTTTTCAGACGTAAAAAAAAAAATGTCAGGGAGGAATTTAAAAATCTCCCTGAGATAATCTGATGGCATTTTAGCAAAGGGATTTTTCTCAAAAATATAACCAATGTGCACAAATAAAGAATAGTTGTATTAGCCATACATGTAAAAAGAGTTTTATGGGGCCCTAGGCAACAGCCTAGTATTGCCTAATGGTTGAATTCCCCTCTGGACTGGAGGAAAGTGAAGCAGCTGACAGGCAGGTGGCGCTTTAAATTTATGTTACAGGACCAATGCTTTTTTTAATGTGTTAATCAGACCTGAGGTCTGTATTGCAGAGAGTAAAGAAATGCTGTTTTTCATTGTAAAGGCGATAAACATTCGTCTTACGGGTTTTTCTTTATAAAGTCCTTTTTTCCACTCAGAGAGGCTTTGTGCAATTGCCTGCTACACTTGAAACATGAAAACAATCTGTTATATTTGTGGTATCAATCATTGTTTTACTCTCTGACTTCTCCTGCTGTTTTTGTTCCTGCAGAGTCGCTCCCTCAGAGCAACACTAAGATTATAATCTGGGCAGTCTGCATTGCTGTGTTTCTGCTCATCATCATCGCTGTCGCCGCTTGCTTCGCCATAAGGGTGCTTCACAACCGGCACGATTACGAAGGGTGAGTAACGCTCAGTTTAATGCTTTAAACAAGTATACAGGAGTTAAGTTTCCCTTTTTTCATGCAAACAACTTCTAAAGTGGCAGAACTCTTCACTTTTGGCCATAGGTGTTTGTATTCAGCAACATTTATCTGATTTTATTTGGAAAAAGTAGGAACATTAAATATTTTACTTTTCCATTCAGTTTGATACAGAAGAGACTGAAATGACTTTAAAGTATTTATTGCCTTGTTTTGTTTTATTGTTGTTTATTCTAATCCTAACAGAAAATGTTTATTAGTCTTTAATTGCATGGTTGATTATATTGGCTGCATGTTTGTGTTCTCTAGCGAGCCAGGCTAAAGACGAATGTCTTATTTTCCTTCCAAAATCCTGTTTGTTGACTTCTCTAACCCTACTGCATGGGAGCTGCATCATTTTCTCCGTCTCAAGAAATTATAATGGACCGGGCTTTGGATGCTTTAACTCAATCATAAAATATTAGCTCTTCATTACAGTTTGTATGCTTGAGGTAGTTTAACCGTACTCTGCATGCTCAAGCAGCACTCTGGTCGTACGTTTTAACCTCAGACATCATAGAAGTACTGAACTTGGTGGTGAGGAAGAAAAGCAGCTGTTGTTGGCCACTTTCCAGCCCTAACTGCTTCCATGGGTGATTTTCAGGGTTGCTGTTTGCTCTGGTGTCAGTCATTTTTCTCCATCTGTGTCCTAACCTCACACTAACCTTCATTTAACACCACTAATACGCTTGCTATGAGCCAAGCGGCACATAGCACGTTCCGAATCACACATTTACATGCAATCACGTAACCTGACTACCGTCCACATTCTCATCAGTCAATCATATAATCAATCAAGCTTTATTTATACTTGATACTTAAAACTAATAACACAGAAATAGATTTACAGGTTAGAATTAAAATGAACCCACCAACCTAAACGGCTCTTTCAAGTCATTAATAGTTGAGGTATCTAACTTCCCTTTAGGATTAATGAAGATTCAGTTAAAGGAAAAGTCCC